TTAGTTAGTTACGTAGTTACGTAGTACGTACGTACGTACGTACGTACGTACGTACGTCGTACGTACTACGTACGACGTACGTACTACGACTACACACGACACACACACTACACACACACACACACACACACACACACACACACACACACACACACACACACACACACACACACACACACACACACACACACACACACACACACACACACACACACACACACACACACCAGCGTGATGCGCCGTCTTCTATTTCGGTTTTTAAATGCAACAGACACAAAGACACTCTAATCCTTACATAATCCCCTTCTGCTAGCAAACACCAAACTCTGGTCATATCAACTCTCTCTCCCACACACACACGAGCTTAACTGATCCAAAACTACTTGAAATATTTGTTTTCCTATTGGAACCAACTCATTCACATACAAAACTGTCCGCATGAGCGCAGTATGCATTCATACTGACTGAATGTAATCTTGTGAAAGTGCCTTAGGTTTATGCTTTTTAACTGAGACATTCAAAACAACTGCTTTGTCTTTACCAAGTACGTGTTTTTTTTCAATCTGCATACAGGAACTGGTAAGGCACAATGTCAAGTAACAATCACTTCCCAAACTTTTTCCATTGACTCAATGCTGAGTTCAGTCCTCATGGACACACCGAGAGAGACATCTAGTGGTGAGTTCATGGCCCTACAGGACGGCAGGAACAAAACCACAGACAAGCTGGGGCTCACTGTTAGGACATAAGGGGCCTTTCTTTGTTTGTCTAGTTTGTTAACAGAATGCAAATGAACACTGAGGAGCTGATAAACTGATTGTATGTAGATGACCTGAGTGTGCTCTTGTTTACTCTTTTCTGTGCTTTTTCTTATTCATCTCATTCTTTCCTTTACTGTTGTCCATTATGATCATTCCATTTAAGCCTGCACACATATAATTATAATTTCAACAATTGATCCATTAATAAATTAGCTGATGGAAAGAAAATGAATTGGAAAATATTTGTTATAATTGATAATAGTGTAGATTTTACATGTTCTGGTTCAAGCCTCTCTGATTTGTTATTACCTTTTTCAGTTTTCTCTCTGTTTGATATCTTTGGACACTGAATGTAGATTTGTAAACGTGAGCTCTTCAAGGAAGGCTCAGACATATTAGTAATTTCAGTCTCAATATTAGGTACAGAAGTAAAAACAAGGTGTTTGTATCTGGTATTAGAATGTATTAATTTAAACATGTTTTTCAGACTCACCTAGTTTGTATGTCAGCACATACAGGACGGTCCAGGGGGTGCCGGGCACCGCCAGCATCCTTCTCCACACCTTCCATGGCCACATAGAGTCTGCGGCCTGCCCTGTCCTCCTGCTGCCATCCGCCTGCTGGCCCCTCACAGCCTCATCGTCCAGCACAGGCGCCCCCCACACAAACAGAGCCACGCCGGCATACACAAACGTCAGCAGCATGAACATCCAGCTCCATCCAGCCACGTCAATCACAGCCAGCAGCCCACCTCCGGCAAACACCGATCCAGCTTTATAGCCCACGACTTGGGCTGTGTTGCCGAGCCCCAGCTCCCCACGACCTTTCAACAACCCCACTGCGGCCCCGTCTACAGCGATATCCTGGAGAGAGGCCAAGGAGTTCATGGCCAAGAGGGTTCCTGCTACTCCCCAGATATGTGCTTCTGGTGCCAGGGCTGCACTGGTGAGGCATGTCAGAGCCAGCCCAGACACTGTCCCCACCAGCCAGCGGCGCTTGGAGCCGACCCGGTCCACCAAAGGGGCCCAGAGCACCTTGAGGACCCATGGGAAGTAGAGGATCTTGGTGAAGCCGATGCGGGTGAGGGAGTGACCAGCTCCACGCAGGTAGATAGGAAGCAGGGAGGACTGGAGACCATAGGGGATGCCCTGGACAAAGTACAGCAGCCCCAGGAAGACTAGTTTGTCATTCATGATCTGCATCCAAACGAGACCCCCTAACTCAGCAGACACTACAGAGGTCCATTGGTCAGGTCATGGCCTGGATTGAAGGGGAGCTCTTCAAAGGGAATGGTTGACCCAGATGAACTGTTTGACCTGAAATGAAAGAAAAAGTGTGCGATTTAGATTTTTGATGCTGCATTTATAATCTTGTAGTAGAAGACAAGGGGCAACTAAAGACTGTCCCAGCTCCCACCAGCAGCCTTAAAAGGATATGTCTACTCTGTACAGCTGTAGTATGCCCTGCTCAGTTATCAGTAACCAGGCTAATGCTAGCTCCTCAAAGTCAAATTAATTATGGACCAAAACATCTTAATATTACCGTGACCGCGTGTGTTTACGTCATTTAATGTACAACAGAACACACACGTCTCTTTGCACCGTTGACGGTTCGCTGACAGTTACATTATTAAGTTTAAATTCAAACTGACGTGTAGCTACCGTTAGCCAGCTAGCTTTCTGTCATGCAAACCTTAGTGAACGAACAGTTTAAAACACATTTTTAGAGCATGTCAATATAACTAGGGGCCGTGCTACAATCAGAAAAGTAGTTACGTATATGTTGTGAGATCAAAATGAACACATACTGAAAGATAAAGTTGGTTAGCCTAGCGTTAGCTAACCGGAGAAGGTGCTCCGCTTGTTTATAAATGTGGTCTGTATGTAGGAGCTATGAGGTTGCCAGGTTCTGCGATAGCAATCCCCCTTCTGCGTATGGCAAGCGAAGAAGAGGTCGTTCTGTATTAGTAGCGTAAGTGTGTGCCTTATTTCTTTCTAGTTAGTATCACTAGTTGATACATTTTTGGTTACTGCAATTTGGTAAAAACCAGTTGAGTAAAGTATCTATGTACATTTACTCAAGTATTGTACTTAATTACAATTTTGAACAACTTGTACTTTACTTGAGTATCCATTTACATGTGTTGCTACTTTGTACCTTTACCCCACGACAATTCAGAGGTAAATCGTGTACTTGTACTCCACTACATTTATTTAGTACCATACATTACTTTGCATATTTTGTTTAATAATGTGAACAACAACATTATTATTATGAATAATAATAAAATGAGCAGCACCCAGCTTTGATAAGACTAACATCAATAATCATAATCAAAACATGTAATTTATATTATTCTGAAATGGGCAAATCTGCTACTTTTAGTACTTTAGCAGGGCTGCCAACCCTCATGCATTGAGCGTGAGAGTCACGCAATTAACCCATATCTCACGCACTCACGCCACACATGCCTATCCTCACGCTAAGTTTCCGTCCAAAATAAATGTATATAAATATAAAAATAAAGTGAAGGAACAGCAAACCGTCTTCCGGCTTAGTTCAGTAAAGTTGGAACGATATTGGTCCGGTTCTTATTATACATCCATTGTCAGGTGGGAGTAAGCTGTCCACAACGGAGGGTAACGTGATGTCCCCATCTGACCTGTTGCTACTGTCTGCAGTAGATGCAGGACCGCCCCTGGCCAACTTGGGGCCCCAAGCGACATTGTGAGATGAGCCCCCCCCCCCAACCGACAGGAGTGAACAACATTTTTTTGGAAACAAAGTAGGCTACTTTGCAAATATAATTCCTGTTTATTATTATTATCAACACAGTTACTTTTTGATACAGTGAGGTAAATGGTAAATGTGCATGTATGTCGTTCAGTATGCGTTTACAGGTGAATACGTCTGCATTTCCTGCCAAAAACTAGCCTCAAAAATATTAAAATATAATAAATGCAAATAAACTGCTTCTACTAATAATAATCATAATCATAATCAATTCAATAATATAAATACTATATTATTTTTATTATAATATAGTTGTATAGCCAAGGCAAAACATGCTTATGACATGCTCAAAAACTGATATTTCTTAAATCTGTATTCAAATGTAGTTCCCTCTGTCAGCAATGTATCAACAACTACACACACATTTCTATCAGTATTTCTCTGTGTTGTGGTTGACATGATGATGACTGTTAGGAGTTAAGGGGAGAGGCTGAGCATCACCATGAAATGTGCAA